TGTCAGTCCACCCCCTGTGCAGAACTACACCAGATTTTGCACTCTTCAGTTTTAGTAAAACAACCCTATTGGCTGACCTCGGTGCCTTATATCTGTGCGTGTGTGCTACTTTATACAAATAACTGTGTACAACTGCCTTCATCCATTCATGTCTAAGAGTGCCTGTAAGCAACTCTAGGACATCAGAAGTACACAGTGGGATTTATTTACTTAAGCTGGAGAGTGCAAAATCAGGCTCACCTCTGCATAGAAACCAATCATCTTCTAACCTCAGCTTGTTTAATTAAGCTTTGGCAATGAAACCTGGAAGCTGATTGGTTTCTATGCAGAAGGGAGTCTGATTTTGCACTCTCCAGCTTTAGTAAATAAACCCCAGTGTCTTTACACTGCATGGCTAATGTGCCCATGTGCATGTACACATATGCCCTGGAATTCATAAAGACTGAAGCAGACAGATTTTATAAAAGAGTATCTCATGCTTTCTAAAAGTGGTGAAGAATATGCCACATTCATGTACCTTTCTAGAACTTGTACTTAAATTGGGCTCATGGTGTGCCACTTTTCGAATGCTTTGGAGACACTTTTGCAAAATCTGTCTGAGACAGTTGTTCTCTTTGTATGCCAAAAAAGAGTTGGTCTTAATTAGCCCCACTTTTACATTTGGCGCATTCAATGTGACACAACGTAAAGTGGCACAATCAATGAGACACAATGTAAAAGTGGCATTTTAGAACTACCCGAATTTAGTGCACGAGTCGCTGTCAGAACCAAAAGTGGTGAAAATGCTTCCTGAATTTTTGGACAATTCAGTAGCAAGAGGGATTAATGCCAGAAAAATGGCGCATCAGCTTTTCTGAATTCCTCCCATGGTGTTTAGAAGCACATGCATGAAAATTTATTCAGTTGGCTAGAATATTAATCTATTCTAATCACTAGAATGCAGTTCTGCTCATTTATGAAACCTCTGAAAACAGTTTTCATAAACATGCGTATGTGCAGTGGTGTGCTGCCCTAGGCAACAAAAAAATTGGAGCCCCCCCCTCCCCCAGGGGCGAGAGCCTGACACCGACCAACACCCCCCCCAGTGGAGAGAGCCTTACAATGACCAACAACCCCCCCCTCCGTGGAGAGAGCCTGACAATGACCAACAACCCCCCCCCCCTTCTCATTGAGTGAGAGACACTTACAGCTCTGAACATCCCTGGAAACAAGAGTTGGGCTCTGCATACTCCATCAAGCAGTCTCTCTCAGATCTCACCTGGTCCCTGTGCTGCATGTTCTGCCCCCATAAAAAGTGCCGCCCTAGGCAAATGCCTTGTTTGCCTTATGGGGAAATATGCCCCTGCGTATGTGCCCTTAGGGCTCATGCAGACAGGCGCTGAGACCCATCCTGTGTGCTGGGGCCTCTGTTTTCTGCATCCACTTCGGAGCTGTGCCAACAGAAATGGATGCAGATGCAGCGCCTGCATGGAGACATGCGTCAAAGAGTGAGTGCACAGATCCAAACGCAGGCACTGTCATGGGAATTCAGTAAAGCAGTGATGTCACATTTCTAGCAGCATGGCCACTTTAATATGCAGATAAGCAAACTGGCGGTAACTGTGAGTACAGGAGGAGGGGAGTGTTGTGTGTTCATTACTTTATTAATATGCTTGAATGTGTTTTAGATTTACTTCAATGGTTGGTAGGAAGAAGGCTGCCCACATCTTGGCAACAAATGAGCCTGATGGGGGAACTCTGAGAGACTAGTTCTCCATCCTGACCTACCTTGGGCGGATTCCACAGTGCCTCTTCAGTCCAATAGTGGCTTTGGAATCTACCAACTGCTGTCCCCTGTCTATCACAGGCAAGGCGGCCCCAATAGGGACCTAGTCTCAGAGTCCCCCATCAGTCTCCACAGCAGATTGCCCTGTTGAATGGGTGGAACCTGACAGGGAACTCTGAGACTAGTTCTCCATCAGGTCCGCCTTGCCTATGATTGACAGTGCACGGCAGTGGGTGAATTCCAAAGGCTATTCGCTGTTGTTTTGCACTGTCAATCAAAAGTAAAGCGGATATGATGGATAACTAGTTTATCAGTTCCCCATAAGCCTCTGCTCACCTCTAGTTTAAAACTCTTTGGCCATGTGCTTGTCAGTGTAGAGGCGCAGACTCTGTGGAGGAAGGAACAAGTGCACTGAGGAAGGAACGTCCATACTGTTCCTCCATCCATGAATTCACCTACCCGTCTCTGACAGGTACATGAATCAGTGCTATGCCCTGAGGACTTCTGATGGGTCACAAATGATCTATAAGGGTACTCTGATAGGCACACATGAATTAAAGGGGCGCTCTAATGTGTACATACGGATTAACCACATCAATATCAGGCATTTTCACTCCCTTCCAGCCCAGTCCAATTTTCAGCTTTCAGTGCTGTCGCACTTTGAACGACAATTGCGCGGTCATCCCATATGAAATTTGTATTTTTTTTGGAGACAGAGCTTTTTTTGTTAGTATTCAAGCACCACTGCGGTTTTTATTTTTTGCTAAACAAACAAAAAACACCAAATATTTTGAAAAAAAACACCTTTGCTTAGTTTCTGTTATAAAATTTTGCAAATAAGAATTTTTCCTTGTTCATTGATGAAGTGGAACTGATAGGCAGCACTGTTGGGTGTCACAGATTGGACTGCACTGATGATCAGTGCCCTGGTTATCAGTGTAAACAATGTACTGACAGCCTTGCCAGTTATTGGCTCTTCTTTCCTCACATAGGCACAGTGTGTGAGGAAAAGACTGCCGATAACCGGCAAGGCTGTTTACATGTGATAAGCTTTGATTTGACACAGCTCATCACATGGTATAAGTCTACTCTGATCGACCTTTTACCCCGATATGTGATCACCTGTGACCAAAGGACACACTAGTCACAGAGCGAGCCCCAGGGGGTGGGGTTCTGGGAGGACGTCTACTGATGCCTTCCCAGAACTGGACGACCACGCAGTAGCCATCTTTTGGCTATAGCATGGTCTGCAAGTGGTTAAAGGGGCACGCTGATGGGGACACCTGATCTAGGGGGGCACCTGAGTAAGAGGGCACTCTGATGGGGACACCTGATGTAAGGGAACACTCTGATGGGAACATTGATCTATGGGGGCACTTTGATGAGGACACCTGATGTAAGAGGGCACTCTGATGGGGACACATGATGTAAAGGGGCACTCTGATGGGGACACTTGATGTAAGGGAGCGCTCTAATGGGAACATCTGATCTAAAGGGGCACTTTGATGAGGACACCTGATGTAAGAGGGCTCTCTGATGGGGACACCTGATGTAAGGGAACACTCTGATGGGAACATTGATCTATGGGGGCACTTTGATGAGGACACCTGATGTAAGAGGGCACTCTGATGGGGATACATGATGTAAAGGGGAACTCTGATGGGGACACCTGATGTAAGGGAGCACTCTAATGGGAACATCTGATCTAAGGGGGCACTTTGATGAGGACACCTGATGTAAGAGGGCTCTCTGATGGGGATACATGATGTAAAGGGGCACTCTGATGGGGACGCCTGATGTAAGGGGGCACTCTGATAGGAACATCTGATCTAAGGGGGCACTGTGATGGGGACACTTGATAGGGACAACTGATGAAAAGGGACACTAATGGGAACATCTGATCTAGGGGGCCACTCTGATGAGGACACCTGATCCAGGGGGGCACTCTGATGGGGGCACCTGATGTAAGGGGGCATGCTGATGGGGACACCTGATCTAGTGGGGCACTCTGATGGGGACACCTGATCTAGTGGGGCACTCTGATGGGGACATCTGATCTAGGGGGGCACCTAATGTAAGGGAGCACTCTGATGGGAACATCTGATCTATGGGGGCACTTTGATGAGGACATCTAATCTAGGGGGGGACTCTGATGGGGACACCTGATCTAGGGGGTGCACTGATGGGGACATCTGATCTAGGGGGACACGTGATGTAAGGGGGCACACTGATGGGAACATCTGATCTATGGGGGCACTCTGATGGGGACAAATGATGTAAAGGGACACTTTGATGGGGACAACTGATCTAAGGGGGCACTCTGATGGGGACACCTGATCTAGGGGGTACACTCTGATGGGGACATCTGATCTAGGGGGACACCTGATGTAAGGGGGCACTCTGATGGGGACATCAGATCTAGTGGGGCACCTGATGTGATGGGAACATCTGATCGATGAGGACACGATATAAAACGGGCACTGATGGGGATATCTGATCTAAGAGAGCACTCTGATGGTGACACCTGATGTAAATGGGCTCTGTGACAGCACAAACATAAGATTTGGACCTCATCTGAAACAAAATGTTAATGAATTTGTATTGAATTTTATTAAAATACCCCTGCCCTATAATTTTTATACACATAGTATATTATGCACATAATTCCCTTTAACCACTGTGAGATAAACATACAAGACATAAAAAAATCTGCATGCAGCAATCTGAACACCAAAGCCAAGAAGAGATCTCCATGCACAGATCCGGCGGGCTGTCCACCTGTACGCTACCATTAGCGCAGGAAGACGCAGGAGGCGCTCCAATGCGTCCATTGCTCTCCGCACATCTGTCCTGTGGACGCAGCTCTCGCTCTGCCCGGTTATACCCCGAAGGATGCTGCAGAGGGAGCCGCGCTAGCTTCTCCCAGGCTTCCATCTCTCAGCGGAGAAGCCGGTTGGGCGCCGCCTCGGTGACGTCACGACGACTACCACCCCAGCTGCTGTCAAGGCAGGGCCAGCCGTGACATCACCGAGCTGCATCGTCCGCGTCACACGGCAGCAGCCCAACCTGCAGCTGTGTTCGGGGCGGCCGGGGCGACGAACAATACCCGGAGCATCCGCTGCATCACCGCGGCCTTCCCCTGCACCTCCTCCCCCCCCCGGTTCGGTCCATGAGCAGCATGTAAACAATGCAGACATAGGCGGCCGGCAGGGAGCTCAGCACACCGCGGGGCACCATGGATTTCCAGCAGCTGGCGGACGTGGCGGATAAATGGTGCTCCAACACCCCCTTCGACCTCATCGCCACCGAGGAGACCGAGCGGAGGATGGATTTCTACGCCGATCCCGGGGTCTCCTTCTACGTGCTGTGCCCGGACAACGGCTGTGGGGACAATTTCGTGAGTGCGGGAGGGGGGGAGGGGAAGGTATGCGAGGACGACGATGATGATGAGAGGAGGATGGTACCCATCACAGTGCGTTATACAGGGAGGTGGACTTCCCTGGGGATGTGCTATAGAAGGATGACATAGACGGGACAGGGCCCGGTGACTAGGCTCTATACACCGGGGGCCCTCATATCTGCTGCAGTATTGCCAGACATACACATAGACAGTATATCCTTCCTGTGTATAGGAACATGCAGCTGTAATGGCAGTGCTGGAGGAGAATGACATACATAGGCAGGCAGGGCCCAGTGACTAGGCTGTATATACCAGGGCCCTCATATGTCTTGCTGAATTGTCAGACATACTAACATTTATCCGGTCTGTATTTAGGAACATGCTGGCTGTGCCAGAGGAGAATGTCACAGACAGACAGTACAGGGCCTAGTGACTGCTTCATGCTGCACTACTGCCAGCTACACATACTGGACATATACGGATATCCTTCCTGTATTCAGGAACCAACTGGAAATGGCTGAGCTACAGGAGGATGACATACACTGGGGGCCTACAATGTTCACATGTATCCTTCCTGTATTTAGGAGCATGCAACCGGTAATGGCAGTGCTGGAGGTGAATGCCATACATAGACAGTGCATGGCACCCAGTTACTAGGCCTTATACACTGGGCCCCCTCATACATGTGGCAGAATTGCACGGAATACATACATTTATCTGTCCTGTGTTGAGGAACAGCCACCTTGTAATGGCAGCAGTAGAAGAAAATACCACAGGCAGGCGGTGAACAGGGCCCAGTGACTACGCTGTATACTCCAGGGGTCTGATATATGCTGCAGTACTGCTAGTTATAGATAAAATATACATCCCTCTTGTATTCAGAAACCAATTGGTAATGGCTGTGCTACAGGAGGATGACATATATTGGGGCCTACAATGTTCAGCAACATATTTATCCTTCCTGTATTTAGGAACATGCAGATGGTAATGGCAGTGCTAGAGGAGAATGCCATACATAGACATTACGGGGCATTCAGTGACTAGGCTTTATTCAGCCAGGTATACATACATTCATCCTTTCTTAATTTAAGAACATGCTGGCTGTGCTGGAGGAGAATGCCACAGACAGTATAGGGCCTAGTAACTAGGCTGTATACACCAGAATCTGGTACATGCTGCACTTCTGCCCGGTACACATTCATATACAGTGGGCGTAGACAAGAATAACCCCCCTTTTAATATAACCACATTTTGTTGCTTTGCAGCCTGAAATGAAGACAGACACAGTTTTTGTTTTATTCAGCTGAATTTAATCAGTACAAGGTATAATATCCAAGTGAGAGATATAACCTCAACATATCAGAAAAATAATTGAAAACATTCAAAACAGAATCCCTGAGTTGGAAAAATGATCACCCCCCTCCTAAAAATGACTTTCAAAAAAGCTATTTGACTTTCAACTGTGATCAGCTGTGGTCATTTTGATTATCTCAGCATGAAAAGAGCTTTCCTGGAACATTTCAGTCCCTTGTAGTGCAACTGAAGTAAAAAATCAACAGTAACATCAGTAACATGGCTGTGCTAGATAAGAATGCCACAGGCAGTGCAGGGCCCAGTGACTAGGCTTTATATACCAGGGCTGATATGTGCTGTAGTACTTCCAAGCAAACATACATTCTATCCTTCCTGTACTCAGCAACCAACTGGTAATGGCTGAGCTAGAGGAAATTGTCATAGATAGGGGCCCACCAAGTAGATTCTGTCTTTCAGGAAACAAATAAAACGTATGCTTCCTGTATTCAGGAATATGCTGCTGATAGCCAGTACAAGGCACCCATTGACTAGGCCTTATATCAGTGGTAGTCTGATATGTGTTGCAGCCTTGCCAGGCAAACATACATTTATCCTTTCTGAATTCAGGTTCAAGCAGATGGTAATGGTTATGGTAGAGGAGATCGGCAGTGCAGGGACAAGTGATTTTAAGGGCCAGTTCTCTAGCACCATGTTTGGTACACTTGAGAGCCTTTTCCATACAGTTTTCTTGGCTAATGTTCTACAGGATAGGTCTCCAGATCTTTCCTCAACCCTCCCTAATTGCTCAGCTTGGCACTGGCATGCAGAATGTGGTAACGCATGTGCATAGCCAATTTAGACAGAAGCCAATTTACCTACCAGCATGTACACTGCTCAAAAAAAGGAACACTTTTTAATCAAAGTATAGCATCAAGTCAATTAGACTCCTGGGATATTACTCTAGTCAGTTAAGTAGCAGAGGGGGTTTGTTAATCAGTTTCAGCTGCTTTGGAGTTAATGAAATTAACAACAGGTGCATTAGATGGGCAACAATGAGATGACCCCCAAAACAGGAATGGTTTTATAGGCCACTGACATTTTTTTCCCCTACTCATCTTTTTCTCTGACTATTTTTCACTAGTTTTGCATTTGGCTAGGGTCAGTGTCACTACTTGTAGCATGAGGCGATACCTGGACCCTACAGAGGTTACACAGGCAGTCCAACTCCTCCAGGATGACACATCAATACATGCCATTGCCAGAAGGTTTGCTGTGTCTCCCAGCACAGTCACGAGCATGGAGGAATTCCAGGAGAAAGGCAGTTACTCTAGGAGAGCTGGACAAGGCCATAGAAGGGGCTTAACCCATCAGAAGGGCCAGTATCTGCTCCTTTGTGCAAGGAGGAACAGGATGAGCACTGCCAGAGCCCTACAAAATGACCTCCAGCAGGCCACTGGTGTGAAAGTCTCTAAGCAATCAGAAACAGACTTCATGAGGGTGGCCTAAGGGCCCAAAGTCCTCTAGTGGGCCCTGTGCTCACTGCCTGGCACCATAGAGCTTGATTGGCATTTTCCATAGAACACCAGAATTGGCAGGTTTGCCACTGGCGCCCTGTGCTTTTTACAGATGAAAGCAGGTTCACCTTGAGCACTTGTGACAGACGTGAAAGGATCTGGAGAAGCCGTGCAGAACATTATGTTGCCTGTAACATCGTTCAGCGTGACCATTTTGGTGGTGGGCCAGTGATGGTCTGGGTAGGCCTTTATCCTTGGACCCATTATCAGACACTGGTGCAGTGAGTTCTGGGTTCCTCCTGGTGCATGACAATGCCCGGCCTCATGTGGCGAGAGTAAGCAGGCAGTTCCTGGAGAATTAAGGAATTGATACTATCGAATGGCCCCCATGCTCGCTTGACCTAAATCCAATAGAACACCTCTGGGATATCATGTTTTGGTCCATTCAATGTTACCAGGTTGCACCTCAGACTGTCCAGGAGCTCAGTGATGCCCTAGTCCAGATCTGGGAGGAAATACCCCAGGACACCATCCGTCGTCTCAGTTGCATGCCCCGATGTTGTCAGGCATGCATACAAGCACATGGGGGCCATACAAACTACTGAGTACCATTTTGAGTTGCTGCAATGAAATTTCAGCAAAATGGACTAGCCTGCTGCATCATTTTTTCACTTTGATTTTTGGGGTGTCTTTGAATGCAGTCCTCTGTAGGTTGATAGTTTTCATTTCCATCACACGATGGGGCATTCTTACATTCCTAACACATTACCCAGTCCATATCAGTATAGATATCCAGCATGATATTTTTTTTTTTCACCATTGAGATCTGATGTGTTTTTAAAGCCATTCCTTTAATTTTTTTGAGCAGTGTATTTGGAGTGTGAATGGAAACCCACACAAGCACAGGCAACATTTGCAAACTCATGAAGATTGTATCCTGGGCAGGGTTTAAACCAAGGACCCCATTGCTTCAAGGCATAGTTGCTAGAAACTAAACCACTGTGCTGCCCTTTCTTGATACTGGGGGCTTTATGTGAGGTCCGTGACATCCCCGAGTACTGCACATCAAATTCAGTGAATGTGATGCTAAAGAAAGCTATATAGAAACTGTAAGTGACACTAAAGCTTAATTTTTTTTTAAAATAACAAACATGTCTATACTTACCTGCTCTGTGCAGTACTTTTGCACAGAGCAGCCCTGATCCTCTTCTTTTTTTTGGATTCCTGCCGGGGCTCCTAGCTCCTCCCCTTTAAATAGTGCCCCAGGGAAATCCGTTTGCCCTGGGGACACTGCTTGAAGGGGAGGAGCCAGGAGCGCCGGCAGGGACCCAAAAAGGAGAGGATTAAGGCGGGAGCCAATGGGCTTCCGCTGCTGTCTTAGCCAATGAGGAGGAAGAGTCCCCAGAGAGCAGAGGCTGTTGAGAATGTAGCTGGATCTGAGTTCAGGTACTAAAGGGGGCTGCTGCACATAGAAACCTAGAATACATAAAGGTAAAAAATCTTGAGCCTTGAGAACCACTTGAAGTCATGGTCATGACTACATTCATGCTTCAAGAGATGGACAAAGACTGCAGGCTTATTATAGGAGTTGGAGACTAGGGACATGCTGCAGAAAGCAATTACAGACTAGAGACGTGTTTTTCAGGAAATGGTCACAGGCCTTATATACACGGGCATATCATCCTTGCAAAATACTGTGTTTGCCTGCACAGGGTGCATCATTCATGTCTGTTGGGACACAGTGGCTGCACAGACACAGCCACTGGTCCATTTGACAGTCATGCAGTTGCGGCTGCATGTCCCCAAAACACAGCTCACCACTGGGGCAAAAAAAGGTTTTAATGCACCCCCTGTAAGAAAAATTCATGCATGCTGAGGTTTTTTGCTGCGCTACTCTCTGCATGTCAACCACATGTCAACACTTGTCATTTTGTGACACTTCAATAAAGTTAAAAAAAGGAAAACCGTTAACCACCACACGACTGCGTCATAGCCAAAAGACAGCTGCAGCACGGTCATCTAGTTCTAGAAGGGTGTCTCGGGCACGATCTGTGATCAATGTGTCCATTGGACACAGCTGATCACAGATAAAGGTGAAGGGCCAATTACAGCAGCCCTTTACCATGTGATCAGCTGTGTCCAATCACAGCTGATCACATATAAACAAACTTCTCTTTTCCTCAGCGCTGT